TTGCGTATATTAGCTGCGACATATGAATCAATATGCTATGACCGAAAAAATTTGATTGACAGATGACCGTTAATATATGATTGGCTGAATTTAGGTGTTCAGGCTGGTGTATAACTAACTGGCCTGCATAAGATAAGGGTAAAAAAAACACAGATTTTAAGACAGAATTTTTTAAAAATAGAAATCTTCTAAATTTAGGGGCATCGTCTGATAAAGAGTACATTTATATACATGTTTAAGTCAGAATGGTTTGACATTTAAATGTGATTTCCCTACGACTTTAAACTGCCAGTCTGTGTCCTCTGTGCAGCAACCGTATGACTGGTTTAAATAAAAAGAAAGCGAAACAACTTTTATTTTCCTCTGAAAATAATGACACGGTTGTACTGAATTATAGGTTGCAAAACTAATCAAATGAGATGAGTCAATGCAAATCGTGCAAATATTATCCAGCCCTAATGTTGCTGCCGGAGAAATGAAACTAAAATCTGAAGCATCCCCTGTTATTATGAATCATTAAGTTGACTAACCCAGGAAAAAAAAAAAGCTAAATATTACATTTAATTCTAAATGAAACCAAAAAATTTAGCAAATAGAGCTCATTATTAGGCCCGAGCTGCGAAGCGCTACGAAGGCCTATTGTATTTTGAAAGTTTCTTATTATTACGGTTCTTTTGGCACTTTGAACGCATTTTACGGGGACTTCGCATATTCAAAAACTCACAAAAACGTGGCAGGAAATTGTCCCCCGCGTGAAATAGCCTGTCTATAAGGGAATCCAAAATGGCCGCCCCCAAATTACTCCACAGCGACCCTTAAACTGAGTTAGGGGAAACCGTAAGTCACAGAGATTTGAAATTTAGCACACAAAGTAGATCTTCTCAAATCATGAAAAAAAAGTCTCTTGGAGGTATGCCCTAAACCCCACAGGAAGTCGGCCATTTTGGGTCAAAGTGCGATTTTTGGCCATTTTTTCATTTAAGTTTGCATTTTTGTGCTAAGATGATTGATTAGCGAACTGCTCAGGACAGCAGTTCCCAGTTTGGAAAATCCATCTGTCTAAGAGAAATACCCAGATGTTTGAAGAGACGGATGCTGTTAGAATTGAGCTGAATATGTTTTGGATGAAATTAGTCGCATTTCACCAATATTAACAAAGACTTATAAGTGTTGGACCTTCAAAAAGATCAGCACTCTATTTTATTGTCCTATTCGGTTCTCTTTTAGAAACAGCCTTCACAGTGGTA